TGTGCACTGCTAAGCCAAATCTTAGAAAAATCATAACTTCCTCATACGAAGTCAGATTTGGACGTTCTTTTTATGCACGCTCTCGGTTTAACGTATACTACAACTTTCATTTAGATATCTAAGGCTAAAAAGTACTCTATCGTAAATTCAGTATTTACATCACGCAGTGTCGTGCCGGTTTTGTCGCGAAACTTCGACGGGCCATAATTTCTTCGTTATAACTCGGATTTCGGCGTTCTTTATATGTACGGAACCCTTGTAACATATACTACAACTTGGTTAAGATTACTCCTTCTAAATAATATTCCATCAAAAACTCATTTTTGATGCTTATTGTCTCTAAATTGACTAGCCCGAATATGCGGGCGTTACATCGCTACTCGGTAATCGGCCGAACAGGTACCGAGTAGCGATTTCTGCAACCATGAATAAACCAATCCGAATTACAGGCCTATTTCGAATTGAAAACAAAAAATACCTTTCTTGATGTGTTCTTGTGAGATAGAGAAATTATGATATAATTTCGAGTATATGAATGTTTAACCCTTTTTTTCGAACATCCACATGTTATTTATACTCGAGGGAAAGGTGGTTAAAATCGGTTAAACCAAAATTGGTGCCAAAACATGATAGTTACTGGACATAACCGACACCTACATCATCATGATGTCATATGTGGGTTTTTGGCGGGAAAATGCATGGCTGGAGAATCCATAGCAAAAACGAGGGTTGTGTGGGAATCATTCTCACACCCACTTCACTTGCTAACTTTTATTCTCAAATATCCAACTTTCAATATCGATATCTCATTCACATATACCCCATTTTAGATATACGGTATATCGTTTTGAAGTTCTCATGGAGTAGGACACAAACCCACTTAGAGTTAATTATATATACAACATATGTATATATCTATATATGTCCAAAGTTAGTAAAGATATAAATATTCATACTAAAATTTCCAACACATATGACGTACATAAGCCTAACCATCAAAAGCAACCAAAGTAAAAAAAAGAGGTAACAAAATCACATCTAACTGAAAGGTTATTGCATCGATTGTTCAGTAAATGTTGTTATGTTCTTCAAAATGTTGAAGATAAAAACATGTCACCAATCATTACTCTCGAACTTATAGATAAAGTAAATTTAATATTTTCTAATATACTAACATCACGTTTATAATTACCTTGAAATTATCGTTTTGAAAATTATCAAAGCAACCGAGTATAATAGATAGAAAGAAATTTGTTAAAATTAGAACCCTTTGATATTAAACCACATTGTCTTCTATTAGTTATCTCTGACATGTATGCCCTTAAGCAACAAAAATGATCTCTTCAATATAACTGCACCAAAATTCTAATCCCTTTACTTTGAGTGTTGTTCCACAGTGCAAGGAACACACAAGAAAGCCAATATTCTTTCTAGAAAAAAAAATACAAAGCCAATATAATAAATTACTATTGATTCAAACGTCATCAAGTGTTGATTTGATATATTTAAAAGCATGTACATTAAAAAATTTGGATGTCATTCATAGAACTTGAGGATATGTGCATAGAAAACATGCTAACCTGCCAATAGAATGACAACTTCATCAGGGCGGAACCATATAGTAGCCAGGGGTAGCCCATGCTAACCCCTAAATCATCCGAGAAACATGAAATAATAATGACATTGCAGATTTTCTACTCTTGAGGTGCTACTCCTTTTTGAGGAAGATGAAGAATTAGATGGCAACATTGGCTTCTTTGATGGTAATGGCTGAAAATAAACATTTGATTTATGCTCCAAGGGTTTAACGATTGCATATTATTGAACAAATCTAATTCCATTTTAAATTGGACCTAATCTAGACCTAATTCGTTTGTTCTCTTTCACTGTGTTTGCGATTTTTTAAAGGGGGAAGAGCTCAAGCAAAGGTGATAAAATATAACTTCGATATTAACCATCAATTTCATCCAAATCGCAGGAAATCATCAAAAAAATTTGCAAGGTTAACATCGCTTTACCCTGAAATTTACTTGTCTCAGTTTCAAGTTTCGCATCTTAGTTGATGGATTGCAATTAGAAATTTTGATTTCAATTTCAAGTTGACCTACCCATTTGTAATGTATCTTTGATGAATTGGGATTCGAATAACCCATTTATACAAAATCTTATTAGGATTATCAATGGTATATTTTACTTACAAGTAAAGAACATTACTTAAGATTCTAACTAATCTTATTCCACGTGATCCCAATTAAGGTCAGAGGGGATTGTTGTGCCACATTAAAATAGATTTTTTTGGAATAAAGGACAGAGAAGTTTGTTGAATTGCTTTAGTTTCAAACTTTATATGGGTTTAGTTGTTTATTGTTGAGTTCAAAGTAATGACCATAGTTTATATGTTCAATGTTATCAATGCCATCTTCCATTAAATTACTTTGATTTGGAGTCAAATTTGTTGTTATTGTTTCTTCAACTTCAAGTCATCTGGTGGGCTTTGGCTTTCAAATTTCACTAGAATTAAGCCATATATTCAAGTAAATGTATAATAATGATGAAATTGTATTAGCCTTTAACTTGTAAAGTGTAAATGTTGTTATAACCTTACAGGTTTTTGTTGTTGACAATGGAGTGATGTTTAAAGTAAAGAACATAAATTGACAAAACCAGTTGTAACTCTTTTTCTTTTCAAACTCCATATTCTTTTTGGTATAGTGTTGCTTCCAGATTCATGAATGAAGTGTAGAAAATAAAGTGATAAAATCACATGTCCTTAACTCTAAATTTTTGCTCAAAATCCATAGCCTAGATAGTATGTGATTCTAAGGTGTAAACTGACCAATTTGTCCCCTTTATGCTAAAAATTACATATTTGTATAAGATCTCTTGTACGAATAGAATGTCAAAAAAAATTGTGCTACCCCTGGCAAAAAAATTTGGTTCTGCCACTGCACTTCATACACTTGCTCTATCTGCAAAATATTTGACCATAACATGTACTAAGTCTAACTTAAAAACTCTATCAAAATGAATTCACATTATTAGACATAAATACAAAAACACTAAATTTGGGTGTATGTTCACGGGATTTAGTAGGATTCTTTCAGAATTGGAATTAAAGATAATCCCCATGTTTGGATACCGCACGATGAATAGTTAGATATCGATCTTCTCTCTTGATGTATTAATTCAGTTCATTCATAATCAAAACTCAAAATTGTTACTTGTTAGGATAGAAAATAACATCTTATTGTGTTATTAGAGCAATCTTAATTTAACTTAAGAAAGAGAAACATCATTGGTCACATGGGCTTCCTACCAAACTCTTGGTAAGACTCACCTTCTAGGTTTTGGTCGATTCTTCTGTCTGCAAAGATGCCTCGATCTTTTTTTTTTTTTAAACAAAAGCTTAGGAATGATAATATGATGACACATGACACTAATTAAATATATCCACAAAACTTCTCTTAAAGCTCGACACCAAATCACTTGCCAATTTAATGATAAAATTTGAAACATAAAATACTTCAAATTTCATGTTGTTAACAAAGTTTATTTGGAGTATATAATACATGGAATTATATTGCATGTGGTTTTTTATGGATCAAAAGGATAAAATATAATCCACTAATCCCTTAAATGACTGATGAGACGACCCACCTTCATCAAGAGAGAGATTGACCTTTTCCTTAAGACTAGTTATTCTCTCCCGAATTTCTTCTCCTTCTTTATCCATCATTACTCTTTTAATCGCCTTTTCAATCCCCACCCTGTCAAACCCATCCTCCAACAAAACACCAATCTTCCATACATCGCTAACATATCTTGCATTTACTGGTTGGTCGACAAAACAAGGTGAACAAACCATAGGAACTCCTTCACATATGCTTTCCAACGTTGAATTCCATCCACAATGAGTCCAAAAACAACCGGTTGCTGGATGAGCTAACACGTCTTCTTGAGGAGCCCATTTCACTATACGTCCGCCATCACCCAATCTTTCTAGGAACTTTTCCGGCAATGACTCCAGCCATTTTGAACCAGGAACTAACCCTGCTCTAACCACCCACAAGAATGGTAAACCCGTATTCGTCAATCCATGGGCCAATTCTTGAAATGCTGATTCGGTTATACGTGCAACGCTGCCAAAGCTTATGTATATCACAGATTTAGGGGCTTGGGTGTCTAGCCATGAGAGAACAGTTCGGTCTTGTTCGATCAAGCTGCTTGAGGATGCCGGGAAGTACTTGTGGAATGGGCCTAAAGTGAAGCTCGGAACTGAAAATTCTTGGCGAATGGTCTCTAGTGAAGGTTGTTCAAGTTCTTCGAAGGTGTTCCAGATAATCCCTGATGATGCCTTCATCTGTTTAAGCGTGTTGGTGACAAATATCCCCATACCTTCTGGATTGGTTGTCATCTTTACGACGTCTTTGACCTTCATAAGTGGAAATTCCGGCACCGATGCTTCATAATTTGAATCTGGAAACGTCGATTCAGAAGTTATATTAAGAATCCTCCCAAACAAAAATCTAAACGAAACAACCAGCACAGTTAATTACAACCTAAATATTCGCGTGCAAGAAGATTAATGTTGAACGAAAACCCAGAAGAAGCTGAGCAAGTTATACGGCTAGTTTATAAGGATGATGGGATAAATGAATCTGGAAGAAGAAGAAGAAGAAGAACTTACTGACCTTTTGTAAGGTTAAAACAACCAGTTTCAGAGGAAAAGGGTAAAGCTCCATAAGCAATGGCGGAAGCAAGACTGGTTGTCCGGAGCACCAATCGAGGGAGGTTAAGGGAATCTGCCACGGCTTGCGTGAAGTAGAATAGGGCATCTGAGATTAGACAGGAAATCGACCCCTCATCGTCTTCCGCCAATAACCTAGTCAGACAATCCCGAAACGGCTCTTCACAGCTTCTGTTAAGGTATATAACGAAAAAGCTGGCGTCTTCCTTCGTTAATCGGCTTTCAATCTCGAAAAATCGGTCCCGGATGGACTTGAAGATGAAGTGAGGATAGTTGGAATGATAGGGGGAGTTGAATTCGGTGTGTATGATGGTTATTTCAAAACCTTGGGTGTGAAGAATGTTTGCTAACTGAAGCATGGGATTGATATGGCCTTGGAATGGTAGGGGAAACAATATTATTCTCCGGCGAATTGAGGTCGATTTTGTCCACCGAAGATTGGTATCGCTTCCGTTGGTCTCCATGTTCAGGGAGGCAAGGCTTGTAGACTTGTAGTGGTTACTGACTGCTGACTATATGGATGATTACTCTGGTCACTTGACATCCGATTGTGTGGAATGATAAAACAAATATAAAAATCGAAATTCAGATCCTAAGCATTATCACAACGTTGACGTTGCCACGATGCACACCATGAGTGGCTTGCTGAATTATTATCCTTTTTTATTGGTTGTTTAGATTTCATAAAAATAATTAGGGAAAACCACTCTAAAACCTTATGTATTTTGCGTGAATGCCTAAATAAACCATTATATTTATTTTATGATCAATTTAACCTTTATTAATATCCTAATCGTCTAACCTATCTCAATTATCCGGTATAACCTAAACACGTTATTATCCCTATGCGGGAAAACCATCGTCATTTGTAGTCTGCGATCAGAATTACTGAAAAGAAGAAAGGAAGCAGGGTCGAGCAAAAAGCTTCGTTGATCGGGGGAAGCTTCACGAAAAAAAGGTAATCGATCCATCTTTGTTGTTTATTCTGTTCGTCGAAGGCATGAGGTGCCGTTTTTCTTAATTTGCTGTTTTTATTTATTGTTTAAGGAAGCCGTAAACAGGGACTATGTTTTCAAGTTCCCATCAATTAGTTGAAGTGTATATGGACGGTTTGAATGGCACAGATGATGAGTATGAAGAGGAAGAATATGTTCATTCTTCAATGGACAAGACAACATGGGATCGTTTTTTTAATGATTTGGTACAACGATAAATGAAATTGCCTGAACTGTTGTCTGATGATGGTGAATTGAGCTATTCAGATGAAGAATTTGACAAAGGAGAGCACATAAATCATGAGACCAATTTCTGTTTGTTTCTGTTTAGATTTGTTTGTTTTGGACAAAAACATGTAATTATACTCAATTTTATGGTAACGGTGGTTGTTTGGTGTGCTAATAACCGAAAACATCAGCAAGGGCAAAATCGTCAACATTAAAAAATTATTTTTTTTGCAGCACACCTGTAATAGCAGCTACGTTTTTACTGATTTCGGGTAAAGAATCGCAATTCAAGAATGCAAAAAAAAATGTAAGCAGAAAACTTAGGAAAAGGGTAAAACCATAACAAAAATGTAAGCTTAAATGGCTGATGCTGTTCGTGTTCTATGTTCAATTCCATTCCAATCTTCATTATGTCCCACATTAGTACATCCACTGGGTTGCTTATCAGAAAGTGATTGTTGGTTTTTATTCAAACAATATGCATTTGGTGTTGAGACAAACATTATTTAAACATTATGCATTTGGTTCGATTCTTTTCTGTCCCTGATTCGAAAATGAATTTTGCATCATATTACTTTCCTGTGTAGCTGCTGTTCGTGTCCAGGCTCCATTTACAGTTTTTTTTTTGTTTCTGATTCCAATCTTCATTCCATTCCTGTTCCTGATTCCAATATTCATTCCAGCTCTGTTGTATTATTGATTCCATTCCTGTTTCTCTTTTCTGTCCCTAATTCCAATCTTCATTCCATTCGTGTTCAATTTTTTATTCCAATCTTACTAATCAAATGAGTCATAACAAAAATCTTAAAAATGTCCAAGTACTCACAAAACCACAACTATAACACAAGGGTAAAACTGTCCAACTATAACAAAGGAACCTGATACAATCCAAGTACTCACAAAACCACATTATCTTCAAAAAAAAACAAATGTGTATAATAACCAAAATCACAAATCCATTAAAAATGTGCTTAATAAACCAACATCACAATTCCATTACAAAAGTTAAAAAAAGGGTAAAACCAACATCACCCTATTACATAATTAACCATTTTAGATTAACCTAACTAGCACTATTACATAAACAGAAACAAAATGAAGATGCTAACCACAACAATACCAAACAATCACATCATCAACCTCCATAGGAATATATCAGGCTCCTGTTTGTCATTGACCTTAAGCTTCATTAACTCCTTCTGCAGAACCAAGTTCTCCTTCTCCAGATCCATATTATTCTTTGAAAGGTTTATATTTTCCTTGAACAATTCCATATTCTCCCTATGCAACTCATTAAGTTTACTCTTATACGAGTGCATACCCAAATCCTCATCTACCCATACAAAAAATTTATAATCTTTTGAAGGATCCTACAAAAAAAATGTAGTATCTGAGTAAGCATTACAAAATCAAATCAATCAAGGCTAGAATTTCATATACCAGAGAATTTGGGCACGTAATGAAATGTCGGCCAGGGTTCTTCCGGGTAGCCGAAGTCCATATATTTGGTTGAAGTTAAGGAAGAAGAAGAACAAACCACTTGATCGATCACCCATTCTGCAACAGTTGCGAGGAAAGAAGAAATCGATGAGAAACGATTTAGTGATTTTGAAGCCGGCAACATCTTTTAAACTTAACCTTTATTGTGTAATTGATACGACGTGAGTATTGTTACCGGTTGCCAAATTGCAACCGGTTAAAAAGCATTAAATGGAAAAAAAGGATATTAATAAGGGTTAAATTGATCATAAAATAAATATAATGGTTTATTTAGACATTGAGGCAAAATACATAGGGTTTTAGAGTGGTTTTCCCAAATAATTATTCCAAAATTTGTAATTCTCAATTCTCAATAAGGTGATATTGTGTGTCTAAGGAAAGAGTGAGGGAAAGCTCCCCAACCTTGAAACATGGAAAAAAGTGAGGGTGTCTATCTTCCACTCTCTCTTATCGTGTGATATGTCAGTATTTTTTTTAGGCTTTTTAATATTTGTTATATGATATACATACTAAAAAATTATAAAAGAATATATCAAAATTTATGGTTTTTAATTCCCTACAAAATGAATATAATATTTGTTTAAAATATATTTTTTTTAAAAAGTAAAAAAAAATGAAAGATTCTTCCCATACACATCCTGAGTTTTTGTGAGGGAAAAAAAGTAAAGAAAAAGCTGATGTGGCAAGAAAAAAGTGTGGGATCGTTCCCACACACACCCTTGGGTCTAAGGTTAACATTCTCTCTTTCTTTCTTAGGATAATAATTGTAAGGATAACCAACTATACATTTTGTTCACATTTAGTCACTAAACTTATTTTTGTGCTCAATATATCATTGAGCTTGTTGAAATTGTTCAGAAAAAAAAACAATTATGACCGGGTATAGTGGGTTTTGACGATTTTCGGTGTCTTTTTCAGTCGTACATGAGTTTTTCGGCCATCTTTGAATTTTCCGGTCATCTTCTCCGACCATCTTGAATTTCCCGATGTTCTGTAAAAATCGAAAACAAACATTCGGTTGTTCATCCTGATTTCTTCCAATGATTCACTCAATAACTTAAGAACATATTCATGACAAAAACACATTCAATAACACATACTCATATTTTTGTTAAAATTTGGGCTTACAAATCGTGTTTGAAGCACAGAAAACAAACCCACAACTCAGAAAATCATTTCATTATGTAAAAAGTCTAAAATCCCTAAATCGTTTGAATCTGAAAATCGTTAGAATCTAAAAGCATTTGAATACGAACCCTAAGCTGCTTTCAAAAAATCGTTTGAATCTGAGATTGTTGAAAACGAACCCTAAGTTGTTTGAATCTCATAATTATTCGAACACCAACCCTTATGAAGTTATGCATCCTCTTAAATATTGTGGAAATCGGTTTAAGACTGAGAAATCGACACACCCACTTGAATCTTGTTGAAATTCCAATTTGATTGAAGAAGATGTTGTGAGTTCATCTCTTATTGATGATTCTGGAAATCTAAAAATGAATTTATGCATCAGAAGTCTTTTCTTGCTGAAAGATGAAAAACAAATTTATGGTATTATTGAAATCTGAATTCGATTGAACAAGTTGGTGTGTGTGTGCATATCTTCTTGACGATTCTAGAAATATGAAAATTAATTTACGCATAAGGGGCGGTTTCTTGCTAAATCTGAAACGAAGTTATAGGTTCATGTTCATCTCTTCTTGATGATTCTGGAAACCCATATTTGCACACACAAACACCAAGAACACACAGTGGGGAAGATGACCAGAAAATTCAAAAGTTAGTCGGAAAACTCATATTTGGCCGGATGTAACATCCCAAAATTCATGACCAAAAATTTTATTTTTAATTAAGTAATTATAAAACCAATAGTATGAAAACATCCATAGTATCATTCTATATCAAAACCCATATGTCAAAAATCAAAACATATCATAAGAAAACAACATCAGAGTTTAACTCCCAAAGATCTCATGTGCGGATATCAACCCAACTCAAACCCCTACACATAAAAGATTTCCTTAATTACCGTTTCATACTCATAACCCCTTTAGGGTCAACTTTGGTCAAAGTCAAAGTCAAAGTCAACACCTTGGTCGAAGTTAAAGTCAACATTCCGAGTTGACTCAACTCGCCGAGTTACCCTTCAACTCGTCGAGTTTCCATAAATCACATAATCGTGATATCATGATCCAACTCGTCGAGTTTTTCCTAAAACTCGTCGAGTCCCTCTTTTTCAAATAGAGTCGGGACACTTCCAGAACAAGTTGTCGAGTTCTCTTATGAACTCGTCGAGTTCTTCAGTCTGTCAACCTTCTTAATGCATTATGTCCCTATTCTTCAAATCAAGGCCCTATCTTCTGGATCCAAGCTGGAAATATGTCTAGAAGGGTAAAGTTTCCAACTTTACCCGCTAAGGACCTCTCCCCAACGCATAAGACTCAAACCCTAACCCAAAATGGCTTAGATCCAACACCAAAAGCCATCAATATTTCAAGATAGACCATGAGGTCATAGATCTGGACTCAAGGGATAATTTGGTCACGTAAAGCTCCCATCTTTACTCGCATACATGACCTAATAGGGCTTAAAAGACCAAAAAGATGGTCTAAAAGTTGCATGTAATAATGTTAACCAATTATTACATCTTTTTTTTGGCACCTTTATGCCATGAAGTCCCCTCAAGACCCTAGGTCTGAAGGGTTTGCCCAAATGGGACGTCCAAATCCCAACTATCAACATACTTGGACCAAAACATGGAACAAAACATCCTAAGACTAGATCTAAGCATGCCATGGACAAGGTTGAAGCTTTATACCTCCATTGAATCAGAAATGAAGCCCAAATTCTGGATCTACTCTCCTCCCACACATTCTTGCTCCCCCTTCAAACTTCTTCTTCTTCAAACCCACCAAGAATACACAAGATTAGCTCATAATCACCAAAAATGGCTTAGGGTTTCGAGATTAGGGTTTTGGACAGTGAAGGCTGGAGATGAGGCCAACACATTGGGTTAAGGTGTTTAAATAGGGTGCAAAACCCCGGAATTAGGGTTTCATTTTTGCCAGCCTACTCGTCGAGTTGAGGCTCCCCAACTCGTCGAGTAGGTTTCCAAAATCCGTGGTCCAATTCATCTCTACTCGACGAGTTTGGGGCCTCCAACTCGTCGAGTTTCTATACAAAAGTGAATAATTATAAATTAAATACATACCAGGAACCAGACGTTACACCGGAAAATACATATGAAACTAGCAAAACCCAATATACCCGATCATAATGGTATCTGAACAATTTCAACAGGTTTAATGGTATATCGAGCATAAAAATAAGTTTAGTGACTAAATGCGAACAAAACATATAGTTTGTTATCCTTACAAATCATTATCCTTTCTTTCTGTATCTTCTTACTTCCTTACTCCCTAACACCATTTCCCGTTGTTAGTGACTCAAAGGTGGAATGATTTTTTATGATGTGGCATACCTTCGTGCAGATTCATTCCCTTTAACCTAAATAAAGTCTAGCATCATTAAATCCATCATCTCTACTATCTTCACTTTAGTATATCTTGTTTATCTATTATGGACGATGAAGTTGAGTACTTTACTAAACGGGTTCGTTTTTTAGATTATATGACTAATAAAAAAAAACTAATCTATAAAGGTTAAATTTGATTCAGCATATATGTTAAAAAGATGTAATAATTGGTTAACATTATAATAATTAGTTGTGTAGTTGTATCCTTTGTATTTTTAATTTTTCAATTTATGGGTCAATTTGTAATTTAGCTTGTTTCCTTTTGATGTTTTTTATTTAACTTATAACGTAAAAATAAAAAAATTAAAAATTAAAAACTTAAATTAAAAAGTTACTTTAAAAATTATATATA